ATGGTTTTTAAAACTTTCTTAATGCTTCCACTGGCCCCTTAGTTTTATTCAATGCCCCTCAATTGCACCTGGCTACTGCCGCCCCCCCCCATCATTCCAGCGGTGGGGGGGGGGGTATAGCTCCCTTTGGGAAGCTCTGACTAGAGCAACAGTTCTCAAACTTTTTGGTGTCAGGATCCCTTTATATTCCATAAGAATTACTGAAGACCCTCCCCCTTCCAGCTTTTGTTTATGTGGGTTACATGTATCAATATTTACCATATTGGAAAGTAAAATATCCTAGTTATTATTATGAAAAGTTTTGATCCCACAAACTCCCGAATGGGTTTCAAGGATCCAATCCACAGACATACCTGGACTATATTTTGAGATATACAGAATATACTGTAATGTAATGTTTTAAGATATATAGACTACATTGCCTAGAGTAACCTGTTGGTAACAACTTTTTAGGTTGATACATAAAAAAAATTACTCATTTTCTCCAAGAAAAACCATTATGTAATTATGTCCTGATCAGAATTGCTAACCAGGAAGTCAAAATTTCTGTATTGCTTCCTCAAAATGAATTTCATCAGGAACTAAGCAATGTGGAGTTCAGACTCATTTAGAAGATGGTTACAATACAGGCTTAAGGCCTATACACTTTCCACTCATTTTATTTTGAAAAAGCAGTAATTTTATTGGTGTGAGTACTGAGTCTAACTATCCTAACATGTCTAAAAGTTCTTGAACTCTGTGCTTTTTTGTTAGTGTTTTGCCATAAATCCTTCATAGAGGACATACTCAACAGCAGGTTTCTCCTTGTGTTACTATATCAAGAGTATCAATTATTCAGACTGTTTAACCACTTTTTCATTCTCAAAATATGGCTGGCATACGTCTCTTCCCAGGCATACAAATCCTCAATATCTTTTACACAATACACAATTACTCAATATCTTCAGTTCAAGCCATCACTGGTAACGGTCTACAACCTGCTTAAGCTTATAATGCGTTTTTCCATTAATTTTTATTCTTCTGAGATCACTACTCCCCATTGTTTATAACTATATATCATCATTTGAAGACTGTTAAACAGATGGGTCAGGAGGAAGCAGTAGGATTACTGAAAGCACTACACATTTCCCAAACCCGACCTAGTTTCCTCCTCCTCCTGCTCAATTCTAAGCTCAATTCATAAGCCAGCTGCCACATTTCTCTAAGAGATAAGTATTTTACTTTAAACATTGGGACTAACTGAATGGACTGCTGCATGTTACTACAATATGGGCAATATGCATTTTTCATCCACTTTGTTCTTTTCAGTGTGGATGGTTAGTCCAAGCTCTTTGCATTACTGTGAATTCTACTGAAATGGTTTTGTAGTTTTCCAGGATTCAAAATGTCATCTAATAAGGATTTTGAGAAACTAGCAATAGAATATCCCCCCATGGTTCTGGGTTTATAAACACCATTCCTTAAACTCTAACAAATTAACAAATGTTAATGTGCTCCAAACCTACCCTGAAGAGAACCATGCTAAAGAAGTTTTCTTTATGATCATCTAGAACGTTTAGGAATTCTTTCCAGAACATTTTTTAAAACAGGCACTAATAGGGAACCATATAGATTTCTAAAATATTCCACTGAAACACTAAGATGTCACTACATAGTTGTTAATGATTCTATGTTCTTTGTATTAAAAAACAAGGATTCTACAGTGTTTTGGCCTTTTCTTCTAAGTATGGTAACAAAAATATGATTCTTGACCCACTACCCCTTTCAATACTGGGTATATCTGAAGAATCTATCATTGTTTGTGGGTGGCTCTCTTCTTATCACATAGGTTGTATGAGGCTTTTGAAAACAAGAAAAGGACTGGCTCATTCTGACAGTATCTAGCATGGAACTGTGTACAAATAAGATATTAGCAAATACTTTTGGTTGATTTGCTGAAGAACAGGCTATCTTACCTGTTATTTAAGTGGATTTTTTTGTAGTTTTTGCTTCCCAAAGGCCAATACCTACGGTGTATGGCTTCAAGATTTTCTTCATCAAGTCTTAATAGTGTTCTTCCACAAACTCTACCTGCTATTGCCCTACTTAAAACTTACCATAAAAGAGCTGTCTGGAAGCTCTTCTGTCACCAAGCCCAACAGTATTGTACTGCAGTTAGCAATCAGGCCTTATCAGGATGGTGGACTGGCTGTGCTTTAGAGCTCTTGTTGATGATCCTGTCTCATCATTCATTGTTGGTTATGGCAGTGATAACAATGATCAGACTTCATGTAAACAGATATGTCCTTTCTGTCAGCTGAAGACTCATACCCACACAGAAGGTCAAACATAATCGGCTCTCCTATAGACTTTCAGCTTAATTTGGAACCTAATCCCACTTTGCTATACCATTCTTCCCCATCTCTCAGAGTACTGACAGAGATGAAAGACGATAGTGAATCCATTAATGAGTGATCCAGTAACCTATGTACACTAATTTAAATAGTTCCACAAATTTTGAAGTTAAGGTTTCTTCTTATTTTTATCTTCCAGGTGAAAGATTATATATGACTAATATTCAACTATATGTATGTATATGTACACACACACACACACACACACACACAAAGCAGCAAAGTAATTAACACAAACTAACCTAATTTCAATTAGCCTTCTATATGGGGTAAAATGTTTCCACCTTCATGAGAAATATAAATAGAACATGATAATGGATAGAAACAGTCAAGGTTTTGCTGTTGAATTAGTTTTTAATGGACAAATTCTATACCTACTGAGAGAGCTAAGAAATCTAACAGAACACCTACAACACTATGCTCCACTAGTCAGAATATCTAATCAGCAGCTCAAATTTAAGTACAGACAAAAGCACTTAACATGAAAATGAAAACAAAAATGAAGCATTTACTTCTAATTTCCTTTTTAGGTCTGACATTTCTTGCCCTTAAGTGGCTAAAGAGATTTGACCCTGGGCATCTCTTGACAAGGATTGTCTCCCTCCATTTATTTAATCAAATTTTGGCTCCAATGAACACCTAGAAGTCCTCAAAATAACGAATAAGCTTGCTGAAAATAATATGGTTCTAATACAGACCCTGCCATGGTTATATGATGTTTTGAAGATACTTTTAGACATAGTATGGCACAGAAGGGTTGGTAGAGGGAGCTCCCCACACAAAGCTGCAGATTCTTCACAAGTTCGAATATTCTGAATCACTAAAAACTCTTACATTTTAAAATTTACTTAGAAAATTAATACATGTTTAATTCAAAGAATGAATTTCCAACACTAAAGACTATAATTTTTTTTTTAAAAAGACACTAAATAATGCTACAATACAAGGACAGGGATAGGGAGAGAATAGAACTGTGATTTCACTGGCATAGTCAATTACAGTCTTTGAGAGTTGCCTAGGGCACTGAGAAGTGACTTCACACATCTAGAAGACTCAGAAGCCTTTATCCCAAGTCTCACAGTCTCTGAAGTCAGCTATATTCACAAAGCCATGTTGCCTACCACAATCCCTTAAAGAAAAATCTACATAATATACATAAGCTGGTGTTTTATCAAACCCCAAACTCCTAAAACAAGAAGTCTAATTCTTTTTCCATTTGATTATCTGGTTAGAGCATCCATTACTATCACTTTTTCTGGGATAACAACATGCTCAAATACTTCTGACAAGAAATTATAGACAAAATAGAAAAGATACAAGATTTTTCAGTTCCACTTCACCAATTCGTTCAGTTGCTATTTTGAGGCATATTGTTGGCATGAAAATAAATAAACCCCTCCATCTGAAAAGTGGAAAAGATACTTCTTAATATACTACAGGTATTCTCCTAACTCCAGCCACCCAAACTCTTAAAAAACAAACAAGAAAACATTAGAATTAAGCAAGAAATAGCAATCTAGCACCCCTGCAGCTTATCATTTTCCATCAAGAAATCCATTTTACAGACTAAACTAAAGCAGCCTTGGGATTTTACCCCGGTTTAAAAAAAAAGGTGTACAATTAACATTACAGGGACCTAGTACTAAAAGGAAATAGTATAATGACATATTCCTTCTGGTTAAAAAATCTTAGCATTCAAATTCCCTAGGGAAAATACCTCCCCATTCTCTATCCCAAAAATCATTTGTCAAGATACCTACCTCACTAAGGCAACATCAACACAGGATCAAAGAGTGACCAAATCCAAGAATCACCTCCCTCTATCCTTAATCAAGTCTTCCCAAGGCCTCTCAATTTTCTATTGCCCAGGCCTGTCACTATTTCACAGCAGATACGGCCCCAGAAGGCTGACACTTTTCCCCATAAGGTTCCACAGGTTCCCTTCATGCCCCCATTTCCATACCCCTCTTTCATTACTTCTTTTAACCCCCTTTCCCCAAGGATGCCCACCACCCAGCCTCTCCTTGCGGACCCTCCCAGCTTAAGATCTCTCCACCCCGTTTCTCCCACTCACCCAACAAATTCCCTCTCCACCAGTATCGTATCCCCTCCCAGCTTCCCCTCTGGTTTCTCCGCTCCGTCCCCTCCCCCCACTCCTCGGCGCGATGTCCCCTCCCCCAGTTTCTCCTGGCTCAGGTTCCTCATTTCCATGTCCCCCCAAGTGGGTGTCCCCGTACCCTAGACCGGGAGCTCGGCCCAGTGCCTGTGCCGGTGTCCTCCCCTCCGGGCCGGGGTTCCCAAGCCCGCCCGAGTTTCAGCCAGAATCCTCCCCCCACCGCGGGGTTCTCCACGCCCCAGGCTCCCCCAGCCTCGGCTGCCCTGGCTCCCCGCCCTTCCCCCTCTCCCGTGTCGGCGGCGGCGGCGGCGGCGACGCTGCGGCACCATCTCCTCTCCCCACCCCCGCCGCCCGTGGCTCCATCTTGGCCTTCCTCGGCCCCAAGGCTGGCGAGCTACGTGTGAAAGAGGAGAGGGAGAAGCCGGGCCTGGGCGCCGGCGACGGCGCCAAGAACAGGAGGCCTGGCCCGGCCTCTCTCCTCAGAAGCTTACCTGCCCCGGCTGAAGCTGGCCGGCCGGCTCGGCTCGGCTAGTCCGAGTGCCTCCGGCTCCGCGCCCGGTGCTGGGCCTGGGCCGCACGGTCTCCACAGCCGGCGACGGCTCCTTCGAGAGATCCTGGGCGGCGGCGGCGGCGGCAGCAGAGGGCGCGGGAGCGGCGGCGACTGTAGAGGTAGGGGTGAAGGGGGCGGGGTGACGGGCCGGAGGAAAAGGAGTCGCGCGCGCCACGCAACACGCCGCCCTGCGTGCGCGTCCCCAGACCCCCCCCTCGAGAGCGCGCAGCGGGAGGTTGGGAGGAGGGGGAAGAGGAGAAAAGCCGGGAGTGGGTGCGCGCACGGCGTGAGGAGTTTGACTGGGCGTGGGAAAGGGGGCGGGGCTCGCGTCTGAGTGTCCCTAGGGAAGTCTCCTTTGCCGAACCGGTACCAGCCTGTCTCTCTGCTTCTCTCAACCTCTGGGTTTCTCCGAAGAAGAAAGGAATCTTTACAGAGCCGCGGCCGTGAACCGGTAGCCACCAGCCTGCACTAGTGGCGGGTCAGCGGGGCCACCTCCGTCCTTCTAGCCAGGGCGGCAGCTTGTGGTCCGCGGCAGAAATGGGGCGGAGGCGGTCGCCTCTGGGCGGGATCGCGGCAGCTTCTTCCACGTGGACGTCGGGCTCGCGTCTCTAGCCTTAGCCTTGCCCCCTCGGGCTCGCGAGGGAGGGGGTCACTGGCACACCCTGCCCCCTCCTGCTGCCCGCGGAGCCGTTTCCCTGGCGACTGACACAGACCCTGACAGGGTGTCCGGTGGACGCTCCAAGCTGGAGAAACCCATTCAGTAGACCTGAATACTAAAGATAACTTTCTAAGGTTTCCTAGGCTCTTTCCTCCCGACAGCCTGGGGCAGGAATGGGGGGGGCGTAGGGAGGGGAGTGTAGCCTCGTTGAGGCTCAGAGTGGAGACTTGGCGAAGTTCGCAGCTACTAAATGTCAGAGCTGGGAGGGAGGTAGTAACCTACCCGCCCCGCTCCCCCAAATTACAGGACAGATTTTTTGTTTGTTTTTCCCTCATTAAACCATGTAGCCTCTGGAAATAAAGCTTATGAAGTGACCAAATGGCAACTCTTATGATTTTGAATGTTTACAGGTGGCTTTTACTTTCTCTTGTGTACTTGAGCCACTTATTAAGCACCTTTCAGGGTCTCAGTCTGCTCAAGGAAAAGATAAAAAACAATCCCTTCTCATGAGAATAAGTATAATACAAAGTAAACTATATAGGGAAGAGAAAAGATCAAATGTGCTCCAAGAAAATTTGGAGTGAATACTTTCATATCAGGGCTTTGTGGAGATGTGAGCTGGACCTGGAAGATTATTTCATCAAGTGGAAATAAGGGAAATGCATGCCAAAGATGAGTGGAAAGTCGTTTAGCCTTTCTGTCTCAGTCTCCTCAGTCTGTAGAATGGATGGGTTAGCGTGGATGAGCTGTAAATTCTAATAATAGATAAGGTTAATCATACTCTTCTTCCGATCCCACCCTAGTTGAAGCTATAGTATGGTGTTTAGGGGTTGGAAGGACTAGACCTGGAATTTGTAATTAAAGAGGTAATCATTTGGTATCCTCAGCAAGAAGTCAGAAGCTGACCAGTCAACCTTCAACTATGAATTAACTGTAATTTTTTTTTAAAGTTAAATGTAAATACCTCAGGGAATTGCCCGGTAACTTAATCACTTGGGGGCTACTTTTCTTCCTTTGCTTGTACCAGAACATTCTTACCATGTGTTTATATATACTAATAAGGAATAAACTCCATACATTATTTGACATCTACTTGTGACTTCTGGATCTGGTTCAGCCCAGCAGGCTCCATTTCACCATCAGAGCCACTACATTTAAATTCATTATTATTACTAAAGTCAAAAAAAGCAGCAGTTTGCAAATTACTTGGGACAAATAAAGGTCATGCCTTTGCTTCTACTAACACTAGGCTGACACAGGCCTGACCTTGACCAAATGAAACCAGATTGAACTGGATTCTCTACTTTTAGTCTTCTGGTCGCTGGCCAAAGATGCCAAATATGTTTCATTGTCGTCTTTTGTTGTGTTATTTCTGTGATTTTTTTTTAAGAATGGATATTATGTTGAGGATGTGTACAAAAACTGTAACTTAAAGAGCAATTCAGTGACTGTTGGTGTAGGGAAGTCAAGTCTTTCAAGGGTCATTAAAGCTCACAATTGAACAGGATCTGTTGCACTAAAGCATAAAGAAAAGTTTGGTTGAAAACAAAAAATGCCAATAAACTGACAAATTTGGTGCAAAGCAGCCTAATTAATCCTCTGAAGAAGGACCTGGCAGCTGGAGTGGTTGTTAACTGATTCCTCTATGGTGTAACATCAGCTTCTTGAAGTTGGAAGAACATCAAGACAGTTTAAAAAAGAAAAAAGCTAACCATTGATATGAAGTTTAAAAAAATGCTTGTCATAGGAAAGGCAGTATAAAGACTGGAATACCAAAGATTGGAAAATAGGTAATTTTTACTGATGAGACTCAACTTTTTTATCCAAAGCTATTCCAAAACAGCTTTCAGAAGTCCAGGTGAGCCTATAAAATCTAGGCATCTTCATCAGACTATAAAACATTCATAAAAAAAAAAGTTTTGGAATTTTTTATTTACTGTGAACCTGGAAGTCTTTTCCCCAGTGAGAGATATTGATGAACTCTCGTAAATATACTGATATGTTGAAAAGCAGAACTGTCCTGGAATTACAGAAATTCCTAAATGGACATAAATACTGCAAATATTTACAAATACCGCAAAAAGACCATGCATCATGCCACACTTCACAAAAGATTAAGAAATTTATCCAAGAGATAGAATTAACATGCATTAGTAGTGTGAGAACTCCCTTGATTTAAACCACACTGAAAGCTTATGGGCTATTAATCAAGGCTAGACTTGGAAAAAAGTAATGTTTGTCAAAGGTAAGCTTAATATCCAATATGATAAAAATATGATTTGATAATGAATTAGAATGTCAGTCTTGTGAACTCAATGCTCATTTGCACAAAACAAGTGATTTCAGTAAAAGGACATATTGCATATTAAAAAAGTAAGGATGTTAAATTTTTTTATCAATAAATTATTTTGTTTTGTCCCAAGTAATCTGAACATTACTGGAACCATATGGAAAGGGTTCAAAGTATTAGACAGCCAGAGAAGTGATTCTAAGAAGTTAAGAGTTTTCACTCATACTACCTCATTTGTAAACTCCATTAACCAGGTTGTTTGGAAATACACCTTCCAGCAAATGTAGGCAAGGTTCTCACACAACTAAGCCAGCTGGTGTTTACATCATTTCCCTCTGGCAGTTGATGTAGCTTTAAGATTCATTCACAGATAGATATAGATCCTAATGTTGCCTTTTGAAGATTTTTACTGCAGTTATCTTTTATGCAAAGAAATGCTCCTTTAAAGACTTACATTATTTGATACTGAGTGAAGTGAGCAGAACCAGGAAAACATTGCACACAGTAACAGCAACGTTTGATATTCAACTATGATAGACAGCTCTCAGCAATATGATGATCCAAGACAATTCCAAGTCTCATGACGTCAGACATTATCCACACCCAGGGAAACAACTATGAAGTCTGAATGCAGATCGAACCTTGCTATTTTCACTTTTTTTGTTTTTTTTTTCCTTCTGTTTCTTTTACAACATGACTAATGTGGAAATATGTTTTTAACATGATTGCACATGTATAACCTGTATCAGATTGTTTGCTGTCTTGGGGAGGGGAGGAGAAAAATTTGGAACTCAAAATCTTATAAAAAATGAATATTGAAAACTATATTTACATGTAATTGGAAAAAAATAAAATACCATTTACCAAAAATAAAAAATGCTCCTGTACTTGGATATTGTCCCAGCTTTTTGATCTCTTGACTTTTGAGTTTGATATATCAAATTCCTCCCTTAGAATGTTAGTTCTTTGATTACAGGGATTGCCTCTGCTTTTCTATTAGTAGCCCAAGCACTTAACTCAGTGATTTGCATGTATTAAGTATAATCAGGAAGACCCAAGTTCAAATCCAGTCTCAGACACTTAGCAGTGTGAACACTTCTATCTGCCTCAGTTTCCTTAACTGTAAAATGGGGACAATAAAAATGACTACTTCTCAGGGTTGTTGTATCAAATAAAATATTTAGCACAGTGCCTGGCACATAGCAGGTGCTTAATACTTGTTCCTTTCCTTTCATCTTAGTCAACCACATACTACACAGAATTCTCTTCAGTTATGTAGTATATCACGTATCTGTGTGTTCTGCCACTATGCTATTCCCTTCTCACTTTAAAAAGGAAATTAGGATTACTAACTAGTACATAAGGAATGTGTTTGGGGCACAGTTTATGTAGATTCTAGTAAAATTTTTGATAAAGTATACTACTCTTGTGGAAAAGCTAGATTACACATTAATACACTCAAATAATTCCAAAGAACGATTGTTAATGGTTCAATATCACTGTAAGGTGTTGAAGTTACATCGTTTTACAGAATCATAGAATCCTAAGCACCTCAATGATTTGTAACCACATTTAACATTTATCTCAATGATTTGGTTAAAGGCATAGCTGATATGCTCGTCAAGTTTGTATAAGAAACAGAACAGTGGATGACAGCCTCCAAAAGAATCCTGTTTGGTTTTTTTTTGTTGTTTTTTGGTGAGGCAATCAGGGTTAAGTGATTTGCCCAGGGTCACACAGCTAGTATGTGTCAAGTTTCTGAGGCCAAATTTGAACTCATGTCCTCCTGACTCCTGGGCTGGAGCTCTATCCACTGCACCACCTAGCTGCCCCTCTCCAAAAGAGTTCTGAAGGCTAGAGTATTGGACTAAATGTAATAAGATGAAATTCAATAGGGCGGAGCCAAGATGGCGGAGTAAAAGCAGTGACTTGCTTGAGCTCTCCCCCAAACCCCTCCAAATACCTGTAAAAAATGACTCTAAACAAATTCTAGAGCAGCAGAACCCACAAAAAGACAGAGTGAAACAAATTTCCAGCCCAAGACAACCTGGATGGTTGATAGGAAAGGTCTGTTGCATCAGACTGGGAGAGGAGCGCAGTTCAGTGTGGGCTGCGCAGGCAAAGATGGGGCCAGGGCAAAAGTGGAGCAGGACCCAAGAGACTGAATAACAGGCAGCTGTGGTGGTTTCCAGACTTTTCAACCAACAAATGCCAAAGACAACTCAGAAGGTCAGTAGGAAAGGTCTGTCAGACCTAGGTAAGAGAGGAGTGTGGTCCAGTCCAGGCTCTACCGCCACAGCCCCAGGATGGTGGCCACAGTGGCAGCGGTTGCTTCCAGAGCTCTCAGCCTGCAGATGGTGGGGGTTTCAAGCAGCTGATCAGAGGGGGATTGCAGGGATCTCTTTGCTGGTGGTGAGGCAGGATTCTCTTGCTTTGCCTATGCTTGGATCTGGGTCACAGTCCTGGGTGGCAGTCCTGAGGTGACGAGCCCTGGCATGGCTTGTGGTGGTGGTGAAGAGGGAATCCTCCTCACAGTTCCAAGGCAGAAAAGAGTGCTTGTGGTCACTCACAGACGAGAGCACAGGCCAGGAAGGGAGGACACACCTCCCCCCTGACCACACCACCTTGGAAGAACTGAAAATGTATAAGTTCTCAGAAGCATCTCTGAAAACAGCTGCACAAAAATCCTTAAGCTTGGGACAGTACAGTCTCCACAGTGGAAGCAGAGCCTGACCTTAACAAAGAGTTTAAAAGTCAAGTATTTGGCTGGGAACATGAGCAAACAGCAGAAAAAACTAAAGACTATACAATCTTACTTTGGTGACAAAGAAGATCAAAACATACAACCAGTAGAAGACAACAAAGTCAAAGCTCCTACATCCAAAGCCTCCAAGGAAAATATGAATTGGTCCCAGGCCATGAAAGAGCTCAAAAAGGATTTTGAAAAGCAAGTAAGAGAAGTAGAGGAAAAACTGGGAAGAGAGATGAGAGTGATGCAAGAAAAATCATGAAAAACCAGTCAACAGCTTGCTAAAGAAGACCCCCCCAAAATTGAAGAAAATAACACCTTAAAAAATAGACTAATCCAAATGGCAAAAGAGATCCAAAAACCCAATAAGAATGCCCTAAGAGGCAGAGTTGGCCAACTGGAAAAGGAAATCCCAAAGTTCACTGAAGAAAATAATTCCTTAAAAATCAGGATGGAGCAAGTGGAAGCTAATGACCCTGTGGGAAATCAGGACATAATAAAGCAAAACCAAAAGAGTGAAAAAATATAAGACAATGTGAAATATCTCATTGGAAAAACAAGTAACCTGGAAAATAAATCCAGGAGAGATAATTCAAAATTATTGGACTACCTGAAAGCCATGATCAAAAAAAGAGCCTAGATATCATCTTTCAAGAAATTATCAAAGAAAACTGCCCTGATATTCTAGAACCAGAGGGTAAAATAGAAATTGAAAATCCACTGATCACCTCCTGAAAGAGATCCCCAAAGGAAAACTCCTAGTAATAGTATTGCCAAATTCCAGAGTTCCTAAATCAAGGAGAAAATATTGCAATCAGCCAGAAAGAAACAATTCAAGTATTGTGGAAACCCAATTAGGATAACACAAAATTTAGCAGCTTCTACATTAAGGGATTTAGAGGGCTTGGAACATGATATCTGGAGATCAAAGGAGCTAGGATTAAAACCAAGAATCACCTACCAGCAAAACTAAGTATAATCCTTCAGGGGAAAAAATGGACAAGGAAATAGAGGACTTTCAAGAATTCTTGATGAAAAGACCAGAACTGAATAGAAAATTTGACTTTCAAATAAAGACTTAAGAGAAGCAGGAAAAGGTAAATGGGAAAGAGAAATCATAAGGGACTTTAACTAAAGTTGAACTGTTTATATTCCTACATGGAAAGATGATATTATAACTCATGAGGCCTTTCTCAGTATTAAGGTAGTTAGAGGGGATAGATAGATAGATAGATGGCACAGGGTGAATTGAATGTGAAGGGATGATATTTTAAAAATAAAATTAAGGGGTGAGAGAGGATTGTACTGGAAGAAGGAAAAGAGGCAAGAAAAAGCTTTTACAGTGGAGGGGAAGAGGGGAAAGGTAAGAGGGAATGAGTGACTCTTACTCTCATTGGATTTGGCTTAAGGAGAGAATAATACACCCTCAGTTGGGTATAGAAATCTATCTTACCTTACAGGAAACTAGGGGGAAAGGGAATAAGAGAGGATATGATGGAAGGGAGGGCAGATTGCGGGAGAGGGTAATTAGAAGCAAACACTTTTGAGGGGGGACAGGGAAAGAATAGAAAAAATGGGGTGTGGGATAGGATGGAGGGAAATATAGTCTTTCACAACATGACTATTATGGAAGTGTTTTGCATGACTACACACATATAACCTATATCAAATTGCTTGTCTTCTCAATGAGAGTGGGTGAGGAGGGAGGAAGGGAGAATTTGGAACTCGCAGTTTTAAAAATGAATGTTAAAAATTGTTTTTACATGCCACTGAGAAATAAGATATACAGGCAAAGGGGTATAGAAATCTATCCTGCCCTACAGGAAAACAGAAAGGGAAAGGGATGGGGGGGGTAATAGAAGGGAGGGCAGATTGGGGGAAGAGGTATTCAGAATGCATGATATCTTGAGGTGGGGGGGAGAGAGATGGGGAGAAACTTGGAACTCAAAATTTTGTAGAAGTGAATATTGAAAACTAAAAATAATTAAATTAATAAAAAATATAACAAAATAAAAACAGACTTTGGACACAAAAAAAGATGAAATTCAAGTGATAAATGTAAAGTTTTGCACTTAGGTACACAAAATCAAATTCACAGGTATAAAACAGGAGAAACATGGATAGATAAATTCTAGAAAAGAGCTAGGAGTTTTAGCGGACTGCAATTTAAATATGAGTCAGCAGTATGATGTGGCAGCTAAAGAAGATAATGGGAACGGGCTGCATTAAGGACCTAGCTTTCAGGAATAGGGAAGCAATAATACTGCTGTAATATACCTTTGTCAAGCCTCTCTGGAGCACTGTGTTCAGTTCTGAGCTCCACAGTTTCAGAACTTTTATTAGCTAGAAAATGTCCAGAGGCGAGCAACCAGAATGATGAAAGGCCTTGAGTCTATCATGTATTGAAGGTCAGTTAAAGGAGTAGGCATGTTTAGTTTGCTGAAAAAAAGACTGAGTGGGCATATGATAGCTTTTTTCCCCCCAAGTATCTGAAAAGTTGTCATGCAGAGAAGAGATTAGACTTGTTTGGCCCCACAGGGCAGAACTAGGAGGAATGGGTAGAATTTGCAAAAGAGGCAAATTTAGGCTTAATGTCAGGAAACTGTCCTAACCATGAGAGCTGCCCCAAAGTGGAAGAGGCTACCTTGAGAGGTTGTAGGGCCCCTTTCCCTAGAGGTCTTCAGGCTTAGGCTGGAAAATCACTTGTCAGCTATCCCCTGAGGTCCTTTACAACTCAATTCTGTGATTCTGGGAGCTGCTGTTCAGGAAAAGTCAGATTTCTGGGCCCTCCCTTTAACATGTCCATCTTCAGTCTCAGTAAAAGAGAGAAAGCAACCTAGGAGAAGCAATCTAGTGGAAGCTACGTGGGATTACAGACCTGTAAAATCAAGGGATTTAGAGCTAGAAGGAACCTTAAAGATCATCTTATCAACCAAAAGTTGGATGACCACTTACTGGCTATGCTATGGGATTCCTTTTCAGGTACTGGTGGACTAGATGGTTGCTGAAGTCTCTTCCAATTATGCAATTCTTTGATTCTTATTCTTTAATACCATGAACTATTTTGGGCCTTTCATCTTGCATTTGAATGAACTTATGCATTAGGAGAAAGTTACAAAGGCATATCAATTTGGGTACAAGTTGTTGCGAAACTCAATTGAGAAAGTACATGGAGAACTTTTCAAACTTTAAAGCACATGTCATCTATTATTGTTAATAACAGTAAAATATTCCCAACATCTTAAAAGAACCATATTAAAGAACTATTTCTAAATCTTCCACTGAATAAAGTTACATTTGTAGCTGTATGGTCTGCAAGATTTTATCCTTCATAACAGTAACACAAAAATGTTGGGCACTTGATTATTAGTATTTCTGCTAAAGGTTCAGAAATTCAAATCTTCCCATTAAAAAAAAAACCTATCATACAAGCTGGTTTTTTACCCTGAAAGGAATAATTTATTGACAAATACCCAATATCCAGTTTAAGGAGAAGAAAGATCAATTCCCACCCCTTCATCTTCCTTCTCCTTACTGTTCCCCAACAATTTCAGCCACAAATAATAAAACCTGATAAAAGGACACTACACAGTATATTTCCTACTGAATCTGCCTCCTAACATTGCATGGAATGCAGCCCCTAGGATTGATAAACAGATACTGGTGTATCAGAACTTGCTTCTCTGGAGTAGAGAGAAGATTAAGGCTGAACAAAATAGGGTCACCTTGGGCTGAAGGGAGTATTCCTTCAGCCAGCGAGATTTTATTGATATGTATACAAGCAAACAGATTTTAATCCCACTGCTGAGAGCCAATAAGGCACAAAACTTCACCCTCAAAATCATGCCTTACATCAGGCAGAGCAATTGCCATAAGAAATAATGCCAAATGGCATCATTTTAAAAACAGAAAATAAAAGTCTTAGAGCTCCTAAGAAATATTGATATTAGGAAGTTAACAAAATCCCAAGACAGATTCTTGCTAATCCAAATCAATTCTTTCCATCCATCTCTAAGCCTGTCTTGGGGGAGGGTCCAATCCTATTTCTCATTAAGTCTATTTTCTGAATTTATACCTACTGTAAACAACAGCAGGATCAGATTTACTGACCAATAATGTACAATCATTTGGGCTTACTCAGAAGCAGAATAGCCAGTAGGACAGGGGGACAAGTTGTTGTCACTTTAAAGTTGCTTAAGACAGAGGTTTATCTCTCATCTGGTTATGATATTCCTTGCTGTCTAGAAGCCTTTGAGCTGATTAGTGAAAAGTAGGAACCTGCTAGGAGCTGCTGCAGCCATTCAGAGGAGAACAGAGAAGCAAGTTTCATACACTCAAATGAAGTTAAGGAATGAGCTAAATAAACACACAAACTGGCAAAGGCATGCTGCCATGAGGGTCAAATGCAAAACCACACAGTGCTCAAAACCCAGCTTTAGAACCCTCAATTTCTTTATATAAAAAGATTATAAACAAGTAAAGCATAAGGTGATGTAAGGCTTGCATTTCAGCTTCAGAGTTCAAAGATAATATTTCCTTAATATGAGGCTAAAGCTGCTTTGCTTCGTTTTGATTTTTGAAAAGTCCACTGCATTTAAAAAATAAAGATTTTCATTTTGTTAAAGCTTGAGCATTAGTGTAACAACCAGGCAACTGCTAATTAGAGTCTCCTTTCTGGAAGGCACAGAAAAATGGACAGTTTCACATCCTGACAATCACTTTTTTTGGGGGAAAAAAAAATCAAGCTAGTTAGAATCTTCTAGTTATTTATAAGAGCTTTCAGAAATCGATGGAAGGGAGAAAAGAAACAACAGTTCCAAAAAGTTTGTTTCATAATTATTCTTCTTTCCACTCCCAAGAAGAAATCTATTTGGGCATTCAGCTAAGCTATAGTGTTTTCCAAATGGGAGTTCATGCTTTGGCTTCTATACCCAATGAGAAAGTCCTGTCCATTTAAATGCACCTCCCAGGAAGAATAGCACAGTGATACACTTCATCTATAAACTTTAGTGTAAAATATCTGTGTACAAAACTTTTTTGTTCTCTATTTTACTCAAATCCAGCAGCAAGTGTCTATATATGTATGGATATGAATTCTCAAAACTGGACTCTGTCCATTTCCTGGTTTGAATTATAATTATATTGTTCTTTTCTGCAGAGTTGCTCATGACGAGTTGAGAGGGTTCTTGAACTCATTCTGTGGCAGAGTACAGCTCCAAAGGGATCTAGAAAGGAGCATGATCCTGCAAAGGTTTGTCGCTGTCTCCTGTTGGTGAAGGAAGGTTGTCACTGCCATTCTCCCTGCCACCAACGACTTTGGACTGCAAAGGGGAAGAGACATAGAAAAAAAAATGTATAACAGCAGTAGGTCTAAAGTGGATATATTTCTGGTCAGTGCAATGACCAGGCCTGACTTAAAAAAGACTAATAATTAACCATGCCATCTTTCCACCTCTTGATAGAGAGAAGGCAGACTGCAGTAGAAGGGCCAAAATAAGCTGTACATTTTCAGACACGGCCAATGTGTTGATTAGTTTTACTCTATTATACTCATTTGTTAAAAGGAAGATGTTGGAAGAAAAGTGGAAGGGAGAAAGATGTTAAAGGGAATTAACAGAAAGAAGAAAAGAAAGAAAAGAGAATCAATATAACAAGTTCAGAAGGGACATACACAGGATAATTTTTCTATTCATTAAGTTTAACATACTATTTAACAACAAACTACATATAAGAAGTTCAGAGTTTAAAATATAATCTTGTTATTTGTACACTGAAATGTTTGTATTGATAATTAAATTCATAATAAAAATATTTAATTTTAAAAATAGATATATTTCAAAAATGTACTCAGAATAGGTCCTGAGTCTCCTCTTTATATTAAACTTTTCTCTTAAGTGGCTGTATTTAATCACAAAAAAAAATTGGAAAATAGTAGATTAATTAATCTTATAATTATAAGTTCCACTACCTTTATGGTCCCAACTCGATCTTCAAAAGACTTGAAGGTTGCAGAGTTCCTTTAAAGAGACAGAGGGGATATCAATACTAAGGAGCAAGTGGTTGTACATATACTCCTTCACCTGGGAAAACTGCCTCTGGAGAGAGGCCTCAATTAAAAACATCTCCCTGGACTCCTGACATTAGCCAAAGTTAAGAAACAGATATATAACATGATTAATTTGGCCAGCACCCTCCACTGCTGCTGTTATCTCTCACCTCTGTGACCTTGCCCAACTTGTACCACATGTCTGGAATGTATTCCATCCTTATCTCTACCCAAATAATCCTCAGATCCCTTCAAATCTCAGCATAAGTGCCAGCTACTCCATGAGAGTTTTTCTGGTGTCCCTAAGTATTAGCACTCTCCATCTTAAAATTACTTTGTATTGTTTTGTTTACTTGTATTCCTTTTGTATCCTCCACCTCCTTTCCTCCCAGTAGAATGTAGGCTACTTTCGGGCAGAGGCAATTCATTTTTGTCTCTGTATCTCCAGCACCTTGGACAGTACTTCACATTTGGCAGCCATTTAATCAAGATTTGCTAAGAAATGAATCATCAGTGACTTTCCACCCAACAACAATATGGTAAGATGAAGAAATGAGCTCATAAATTTCACCTAACACTCCAGCTCTCTCCTTTGCATCTTAGTTATTTATGTACAGATTTACTCCCTCCCTCCTTTAGATTCTAAATTCCTTGAGGATAGGAACTAAGTTATGCTTCATCTTTGTATCCCCAGTGCAGAGCAGTACCTTGCACAAAGTAGGTATTTAGCACATTTGTGGACTCTGTCAAGTAAAGGTATAATGCAATTATAAATTATAATTGATCCATAAAACAAAAGGTTTCTTTGATGAAGTTCACACCTATAATGTACAATCTAATCTTTAAGTGAAGATTATCCTACATAGATGACAACTGTGGTTTGAGTTTAGTGGCAGATAAGGAGGTACTGGGCTACAAACAAGTATATTTTCCCTTTATACTGAGTATTTATTTGTGTCCCAACTTACTGTATATAATCAAGATAACAGGAATTCAAAGCTATAGGTTCTTCATCTTTCATAAAAATTATTTAAATAATAGAAAAAAGAAGAGGTGCTGATAATGAGTAAAAAAAGAGATAAAACAGAAGAGGCAAAGAGAACAGGCAAGCCAAACTCCTCCAATGTGACCTCATTTACACAATCCAATTTTCTTCAAATGAGTAAGTCACCTACTCTACCCTGGAACATTTAGATACAAATGTGTCTATGACCTCTCAGGGCAACTGCTGGCTTACAGGAAATTCAGGATGTGAACTCCAAACTAGATTTTACTAGTGGTCACAAGAAGTTTAAAATATAAAGAGAAATTTACTGAAAGTTAGCTCCAGGGCCAGTAGAGGATACTCAACACAGTTTAATGCAAAGATGAGTAGATTATGTCTATAGGGATTTTAAAATATTCCCCACGTCTCCCCCATCCAGGCTCAAATAAAACAATTCCACATGAATAGTTCTGGTGCCGCTTGAAGCCAAAATATTTCGGTTACCAGTTCTGACCTCCCTAGTAGAAAAGCCACAGTATCTAGACAAAGAAAGGTCTACAAAAAGTAGCTCTTTGGTGTGGAAGACTACTACCTGATTAGCCTAACAAACTAGGCAGCCAGTTAGGTCTCCTTAGGGTCCCTTTAGAAGTACAATATTGCAGCACTATTTGGCAAGACAATAATTTTCTCTAGAGACTTCATTAAGAACCTCATATCCAACCAACAGGCTCTTCCTTATCAACCCAAGGAAGACCTTTTTACACCCTGAACTTTTAGGGAGCTAAGGAAAACTGATTCTTGGATGAGGGTTCTGCAAGTAAGGATGACTGAAAATTATGAGGAATGGTGGAAGGGCAAGCAATTTTTAAAGACAAGCATCAGAGGAAAAAGTCTCTATTCCTGTATCCCCAATCCCTCTGTATACATTCTACACAAACACCCAGATTCTTGGTGAGTAATTGAGATCATTTATACATTACCTCATAGCTGGCATACTTATTGAATGACGAATGGAGTAGCTGCTACTTGGAAGCATTATAAAAGCAAAGAAGGAAGTAAGAGTTAATAATGAAATTCAGATAGAAACTGGAGGTTCCTAACATTCACAGGATATTAAACATGAGTTCACAAAAATCCTACCATAGAGAATGCATGAGGAGATGCATCTTGGTTATTGTTACACAACACAACTTGATGGAGTTGTCAACTACAGAAATGTATTAAGAGCTCCTTCCACAATGGTAATTAAAATGTTTCAGCTGATATCAAACCATCTCTCTTTGTGCTTGATTCAGGGCTATCTATTCCTTCACCAGTTCCCCTTGGGACTTCAGAGGGCTGGTGAGAAGACTGTGGTATTATTCAAGAAGTCCAATTAGAGAAGACTATGCTGTAGGAAAAAACTAACAACTTCCCAAATCTTCTGGTATAAATAAACTAAAGATTTCCTTAAGTGATTTTCTATATAGTTCAAATAAAGCTGTGGCAAAAAAGAATTGAACAAAGCAAATAGGTCAAAATGTTCAAATCCACAGTGTGTTTTGTATTATATAAGGAAGAAATTAGTTAGGCACAAATAGCAAACCTGTTTTTGTTTGTTTGTTTTTTAAGTTCAGTTTTCTTCCCAACATAGAGTGCCAGCAGGAGAAGCAACATCTGACTGGTTCTTTTCTATGATCCAGTGTAGAAAGAGCTCCTAAGCATTGTGCACCAAATGAGACAGAACTTAATTTGAAAACAGGCACAACACTCTTTGGAAAAATTAGGAATCAGCAGTGATTTAAAGGAGAAGTACATACTACTAACCAGATGATGAGATAGTTACAGGAGTCAGCATAACCCTTCCACAGAAAAAAGTGTCTTTTCAGGATAGGCTATACTGTTAACTCAAACATACTCCCCATAAACAATGAACAAGATGAATGAAATGCTACTTAAGATTTATCTACAATGCAGCTACAGCCTTTAGGATTTGCTTTTGTCAGTATAAAAAGATACAAACTTCCTTGATAAATGCTCGTTTAATTTAGATGAAGACAGCCATACAACAAAACTTACTCTAGGGAATACAAGTAAAGAGAGGGAGAATACAGATCTGTTCCACATCTCCACTTACTGAAAGCTTTCACAGATGGGCTCTGGTGCTACCTCATCTATGAAGTTCATCCTGATTCACTCAACTCAAAATGTTCTTTACCTCCTCATATTCTCTTACGGCATTTTGTACTTCTCCTTTGTGCTTATCATAATCTACCTTAGAACACACTTAGTGTACCTATCACATCCCTTTTGTTGGATTGTAAGCTCCTGAACCGGAGGGAATGTGTTTCATTTTTACATCTTCCCCACTGCAAATAGTAGGCACTTAAATGTTTGTTGAATTAAGCTGTTTTTCAAAAGAGGGAGAAAGTGTTGAAGAGGTATGAGGTATGCAGCACCAACAGCTGCCAATGCATTAGTATTGAACCCAACATCTCTGGTTATAATTGAGGAGAAAATGGCACAAATTCTAAGAACTATGAAAATCCTCCTAAAAACACTGCTGAGGTAGAAGAATAGAGAATGGCAGAGTCTCCCACCCACCCTCACCCTCGCCCTCTCTGGTGCTGCCCTGATTTTCTGAGAATGCTGGCCAGCTAGAATTGATTCTAAGTGTCACTCTTATCCTGCTTTCTGGAGAAAGTCTTTCATCTTATATTTATGGTGGTTTAGTCTTACCTAAAGGAATGTGAGAAGGGATGAGCCCTAAAAACACACAAAATAATTGGCAGCAGGAAGAAAGAAAAAAAAAAGTTAGGCAAGGAAATCCAGCCACCCAGACTTGCTCAATAGCCCCTCTGTTCCAGAAAGCCACTCCCCACTACCCCTTCCTTTAGCAAGCCACTTAAAAAAGGTTTTTTGCCTCTAAAATACAATACCTCCCTATGCCCTTACAAGCTTGCAGAGAGGCTAACAAGCCAAAAACCTATGTGTGCAAACTCATTGTGAGGTTCAACATATAAATACTAACTCTCCAAAATCTGAGTGTTTTAATCACGGATGTTCTCATGTGAGGGTGCATAATTATACCACAGAATACCATGCTAGACTCCTAACCCCAAACTACTCAAGTACTAGCTTAAGAATTAACTCCTTATAGTCTATATTCCAGTAAGAAAAATGGCAGACCCAAACTGAATGCATAGCTATTCATGCAGCACACATGGTATTTTTATCTTTTTGTATAGTTTATATTTAATACCATAAAACAGTCATTTTCAAGAAATCCATATGCATTCATAATCCTTATCTGGAACAACCACCAAAAAAAACCAGCATAAAAAGCAACAAAGATACAAACTGTGAAGCAATTTGACTTCCATACATGCAATGTTGACTCTGTGATATTCAAAATTTCCATATGATAACTAAAGAGTATTACAGGCACTCTGAAATATGTATCTGCCGAGCTGACAGTTTTTTACCATTTAATAGCTTATGAGCAAGGATGCACTGCATCAGTAATCTGAAGTGCTTTTTTCAGCCAATTGAATGAATACCAAGGTACACTGAGCAAGTCAGCTGAATGAGAAGTAGAGATATTTGAATTAATTGGTTTAGTTAAAATATTTATTTTCAAATTTGTAGTAAGATTTTAAAATAAATCCATTGTGGACACCATCAGTTAAGTTCTAAGATCCTTTTTTCAAACACTTAAGTGACAAAGAATCATTCACTCTCATAATATTACTAAATATTCTAAAATTAATGCCCTTCTACTCTCAACAATCTGGAATCACATGAGGAAGTAACCAGAGGTTTCTCGCCGTAATAAAGAAATGATTTAACAACATCAGAAATATGAGACTAAGTCAGAATGCTTCTAAAAGCTCAGGATTCTAACTTGGACAGGGGCACCAAGGGACCTTGGAAGAGCTACATACTTACTTTCTGTAACAGTGCCCACAAAAGACTTAGAATGTATTTTGAAAGTTCATACCATAACAATCCAGTAGGGAACTACCCCCTCCATGGATTTATCTAAACCCTGCTGGAATCTATTTATACTGTCAAGGAATGGTGTCAACTCTAGGTTTAAAATTCATGAATGGAGTCAAGGATCTTGCTTCAGCCAGTTTATCTAAGAAAAAAGAACAGGAGTCCTTTAAAAGTGTACTAAGAACTTTCAGGGAAGGAACTCTTAGGAATACACAATTAATTAAATGAAGGCCACTGAAAAATTCACTTATGAACTATGACCAAGTATAGTCTATGTTAAGGAGACCTTGATGGAAGTACCAACTCTAGGAGATCAGCAAAAAAGTGTAAATTCCTTTAGGTACCTTAAATCTCACTGGCCAAGTGGAAAACAGAATTTGGCTCCTTTATATTAAAAGGGGGAAAGCAATGAATTCAAGGAGACTTAACTTCAACTTCCAACTTCCTACCTCCTCCTTGCTCAGGACCACAGACACACACAGAACAGCAAGACAGAGTAGAAAAAGTGGCAAATTAGTGTAAAGATATACTGAGCACTTGACTCATTCAAAGGAAATCTCTCCACTGCAGGCAAGTAACTACACTCCCCATAATCTATGATCACATGCACTGAGGACAATGAGTCACAATTCTCATAAATGGAAGTCTTCCTGTCATTCTCAAAATTTAACTTTCAGTTTCAGTAATCATGAATTGTACAGAGTTCCAGAACCTGAATAAATCTTCTTAGCTCCAGCATCAGGAAAACAAAGGAGATGCAACTCCCCTTGCAAATATATAGAACTAGAAACAGGACTATGTTAAGTCTTCCAATAAGTAAAAATATTTATTATATATGCCTTAACCCAAAAAGGGTAGGTCAATCCTCTGAATCTTACTTAGTCTGCTGGAAGTCAGGATTAAAATTTCAGTAAATCTTGACCCAATTTCCATTCAGGATGATTTGATGGAATTGGAGTGTCATTTAGTTTTAATGAGCTGGGCAAAGTTCCACATGTGAATAAACCAAAAATTAAAAAAGAAAACTATCATACTTTTTCAATTGTAAGATATAAATCAATATTGACCTGAAGATCTCAAGCTAAAATTGTTGCAAAACAAGTGAACTATCCTTTCTCAAAAGGTGTCTAAAGAAATTAAGACACTGCAGAGGTTGGTGCGGGAATGCGAGGGAACCATGAACACAGAACATTACATACAATATCAGATTCAGCTGCCATGTCAGTTTTGTTGAACTGCTTTCTGCAGTTCTTTTTAATTCTTTATAATTCACTCAGTAGAGTGAAGGATATATTTGGAAATAAAAGTGATTTTATAAGTCATGCCTGTCAAACATTTGTTGTCTTCCAGGACTTCTTAGCTATTTCTCAAGCCCTAAAAAAAGCATTTCAAGGCAAAGCATGACCGTCAACAAGTGGCACCACTCCGAGAAAGTACATTCCCAAAATGGCTCAAAGCACGTTATTAAAAAAAAATCTCTGAACGACTTTTAAGTCAAATTTTCTTATACCTAATACTCATTTCTTCTCAATTCACTCCAAGGCAATATTATAAGGAAAATGAGAATGTGATACTAACCAGAAGCATGTGATCAGAGATTACTAACAGTGCTTACCACCTGAGTTCCCCACAGGCCCAAGGAGGGAAGGAGGAGTCCCCAAAAGTGCAGCTTCGATGAAGGAACTGTCCAGTGTAATTTCAAATGAAACTTGTTATAAGGACTTACACAAAACACCTCCAGAGCTTGCTTTTCAGGTGTTGTACATGTCAGTTTACTTAAGACTAATATCTGTTAGCTTTTTTCCAGAGAAGGCAAAGCCCTTTTTGCTGAGGCTTTTCCAAATGATTTCCTATGCCCCCATGAAGCATGAAGAAGATGATATTTGCAACCACTAGTTAGAAATACTAACAAACATACTATGTCGTCTCCCTTACCTTGGAGGGAAGCAAAAATACAGCAACACTTGCTTTAAAGGAACACCTTTCACTAGGTGGGAAAGTCAGCTACAAACTTTGGCTGAAGGATACACTGAAATGCTCCTGTTTTAACTTGTCTGGAACTACTATACATCAGACAAATATGAGAGAAACATCACTAGGGTAATCTTACTTTGTATTTGTTTCCCACTAAGAACTTTCTTTGCTCACAGCTGTCTAATCTATGAGCTAGATAACTCTGAGGCAAAATAAATCCCAAGTAAAGGAAAAATCACTCATGATACACAAAAGAGAAATTAGATTAAAAATTGGATTACACCAGAGGTTCAAATACAGAGACATTACAGCTTTCTTGTGGTAAGTTTAGGTTTTAAAAAATACTCATGAATCGAAATATTTAGATAACTGATCATGAAACAGATCTACCATAAAGTGAAAATTCTTTTACAAAATCTAAAATTCCATCAGATGTTGATTAAAATACTGATTCTCATCTCTACAAAACTTAAAGTTTACCAACTGTCTTTCATTAACTTATATGAGATTTAGAAAATCATATTATAGAAGCTAACCATAAGGATGAACTTGTTTGTGGGAATATTCTGTATAATGTGTACTGTTGTCAAAGTCAGATACTGAATAGCACATATGAATTTATAGTATCCTGCATGCATACTGCCATTGGTACTCTATAAGAAGGACCATGAGCCAAATCTCAATTATTTGGTAACGAATGGTGAAATATAGGGAAATAAAATCCAAAAGGAACTGAAAAAGAGGCTTTAGAGCTGTTAGTATCAATTTCTGCCATTAACTTTCTATGTAACCTGGGCAAATCTTTAAAATCAGTTTTCCTTATCTCTAAAATGAGCTAATTGGGCTAGATGATCTCCTAAGTTACTTTGCAACTAACTCTTTTTTTTTTGGTGAGGCATTCAGGGTTAAGTGACTTGCCCAGGGCCACACAGCTAGTGAGTATCATGTGTCTGAGGCTGGATTTGAACTCAGGTTCTCCTGACTCCAGGGCTGATGGTCTATCCACTGCACCATCTAGCTGCCCTGCAACTAACTCTTAATAGTTATGAGTCTATTCTAAGATTATATATTACCTTACCATCACAAAACCTGGTGTAGCTATCAAAGAGCAGAATATACTAATTTCCTAATTTCCCTTCTGTCTTGGGGCACTCAAATGGACATGCTGTTAAGCAATATGACAAAAATCAGGCAGAAGGAAAAAAGGGCTAAGGAGCTGAGATCATCAAACCCTGTGTTGAATTTGGGAATGCCGTGCTCCACAGACTTTTCCATTCTAAGACCTAATTACAAGCCACTATACTTTGGTAAGTCACAAACTTATAATCATGTCTTATCCTCACTCTCTTTAACAATAAACTCTTCCCTAACAGAAACTCAGGCCAAAGATTAATGATATTTCAAAGGAAATGGATCCTACCTCATATCTCCAAGTTTTCTGCTGATAGCAGAGCCCACATTGGACAGAGCAGCTGAAGTCTTCTGTCCTGCCTGGGAGAGAGTTTCCTGAGTCTTCTTGTAACTAGACAGAAGAAAAATAAGTTAAACCAATCAAACAAGAATGAGAAGGCTTCCACCCACCAGGCAAGGAAAAAGCATCCCTACATTCCGGAAAAGGTTCCCCCAAAGGAAAGATTCAAATAAGTTAGTGAATAGTGGTGCTGCCACAAAAAAGCTTCTCCTCCACTTCTGAATGGGGCCCTTTTTATGGTACCCCCTAAGAAAGGGAAGCAGCTTCACCTGTTAAGTGCTTATAAGCAGTATTAAGCCACATTTTTTTCAAAAGCATGTAACCAAGTTAAATTTAGATTTATCTTATGGCTCACATTCCTTCTCTCTTACTACTCATATTCATTTTCCCCTTTCCTTAAGGATGCTGAATCAAGCTTTCATCACTGAGAAACAAAAACTGGATGACAGAACTAGAACAACAGAGACAATTATGGATATGACAACAGGACAGGAGGACAAGTACCATTTTGGAGGCCAGAGTTAGGAAAGTCCTCCCAGTGACTTTCAGCCACACTTAAGAAACATTAAGCTAATATTCACCATTACCTTAATTCATACTTTTCTCATCATGAGTACATCAGTATTATGCCAGTATGCAAAGGGCAGTTAATAGCAAAGATCCAGAACAAATCCATTTTCCTGCCATCTGTGATCTAAATGCATACATGTTCAATGTTTAGAAGTTTTTTTCTCCCCCTATATCACCTCAAACATAAGAATTCCTTGTACTTTTTCCATAACTGCCTTTTGGGACAGGGTACAAAGTTCAATTTTAATACAATCATTTCAAATAGCTTATAAAATTTCATCTTGAATCTAACACTGAGGTAGATTCCTATGCTTTAGTCCTTTGCCTTCCACCAACAGCCACTAAGCACATACCCCTTTCTCAAGGGTACTTCTGAAGTTATTTTCATTATTTGAGATAAGGACTTTGACACTAGCACAAAATTTAGTGGCCAAGTTATAGCCAATAACTATTCCAGGGAAAAGAGTGCCCAAGTCAGAGTTAGAACCTTGAACTGCCTCCCCTTACTCAGCAATCATCACAAACAAAAAGTTAAGACTTACTCATCTCAACCACAAAATCCAAAGAGCCTTGAGAAGCAACCAGAAGTCATACAGCCTATATCATAGCATCAAGAATCATGATAGCAATAAAGGGCTTATAGCCTACATTTTACAGTTATGTCATCTAGGGTCAAATGAGGAGAAATCTTTGATGAAGCTGACTATCTTAAGACTAAAATCACTTTGAAACAAACAAGATTTAACCTCTTCTGAAAGATCCAGTCTATAGAAGACTAGACTTTATCAATAATATTATGTTAAGTACTCTCTAATAAGATCACAATCAGACTGTTAAGTCATTTGGCTAAAGTTCCAAAATAAAAGACTTTCCCTATTTCCTACTGCAGTATTGTTTCAGAAATTAATCTTCCTTAAACACCTTTTCATCATTACTCCCTCCTTCAAAATCCTTCAATGGCTCCTCACTGTCTACAAGTTCAAACTCTTCAAGGTGGCATCCAAGGACTGCTACAATCTAATGCCATCCAAACTAGCCAACCTAATTTCTGAGTATTTCCAACATGAAATCTTTATTCTAATCAGGCCAAGATCCTCACTGTCTCCTGACCACTCACTCCATTCTTATTCTCACCTTAGCAACTACACTCATACTATTATTGTCCACTCCTCTTCACCTAATTAAATTGTAATCATCTTTCTAGGTCATATTCAAGTCCTACTCCTCCCTGATTATGCTAAGACCTCTTTGAAAGCCTCCATGATTATGCTAAGTCCCACTGATCTTTTACTATTTGTATCACAGAAGCTAATACTTTATTAATTAGTGTCTTGTAGTGTTTTCCAGTTGATTCCTGTGTGTTAAGTCATCTTACCCCAACTGCAATGCTCTCTGAGAATGCTTCCCTCTAAACTGTCAGAACAATTCTCAGTACAAAGGTGGTACTCTATGAACACTTACTAGACTGGGGGTGAGTGGGTAGCAGGGGACAATGCACTTCTAGGACTGATTTGAACACTCTGGGGTTTGAAGTAAATGAGAAAATTATTTTGTTTTTGTTTTTTTACTTAGCTTGCCCTGATACCTCCCTAGATTTATATGTTCAGATCTCATGAGCTGGCTTTCTCAGAGCACCATGTACTAATCTTCTGTACTTGTCATATACTAAACTATATTTTATTTTGTTACATATACTCTCCCCCACTAGATTACAAATTCCTTAAAGCCAGAGAAACTTGGATTTTAATTCTTTCTCCTCTACTTATTCGCTGTATGACTATGGGAAAGTCACTTAGCCTCAGTCTCCTCATTTGTAAAATGAAGATAATAACAGCACCTACTCCAGAGATATAGTGAAAGATCAAATGGAATAATCTATAAAAAGCATCTGTAAACCTTAAAATGCTATATAAATGTCAGCTATTATTATGTCCCCTAGCACAGAGCCCTGTGTATAGCGTAACAAGAGTTCAATAAACGTTTAATCAAAGAAATGGTTATGAAGATATCCATGTTATTGCTAACTAGTTCTTGTAATATAATGCCAGACACACTTCAGTAAAGAGAAAAAAATTAACCACCTAAAACTTTGGCAAGAAAATCCCACTCCTACACTTCAACAACTGGTAAGAATGTTACATATATAACCAGGCTTTGGAAAAAACAGACTCTTCAAAATGTCCTCTTTCTCACACCGAATCTAATGTGTGATTGTAACATTTCCAAGAGTCAAGAATGCCTTTCTACTTCAAAAACAAAATGTTGTAACAACTGCAACAGCAACATGTTAGATCTGACCAAACTCTGGAATCTGTTCTAATACCCTCAGGGGCCCAAGGAGACCGTACTTTTTTTTTTAGTAATAGACGTCACTACATCTTATAACTTAAACGGACCTTAGAGCTCATCCAAGTCCAAGCCTTTCATTGTACCAGTGAGAAAATTAAGGCTCTGAAATTTAAGTTCCCTAAGGTCAAACAATAAGTGACATATAAGAAAATGCCTGTACAGAAACATTTCTCCTTCCAAGACAGTATAATCTTCAATGTGAAGCAACGGAATTAAATCAATTCTTTTACTCAAATACTCAAAAAAGCTGAGTAATTCAGATAAAATGCTCTATCAGAGAAAGAAAATGCTGTACAATTTTTTTTAAAGAAACTACCATATGTCTGAAAGGGATCTCATTTAGCATCACTCTCTTAACAATTACACTGTAGTCTTCATTTGTTTTAGTCAAGCGATTTGGGTCTGTCTTCCATTCTCTACCTCAACAGTAAGCCAGTTCAGCTGCCACCCACACAATCCCAAGCACATGCAAATTCCAAAGGTTCCTTACTACAGAAATGCAAGTTCCATAACCAAATCTGTCATCACAACTATGGAGAGGTTCTGGCACTAACTGATTAGGGCAAGGCTCCACCCAGAAGAACCTGCCACTCACTATCTAGAACCCAATCTGTTGACAAAAAAGTAAGGATGTTCCCTGTCTATTTCCTTAGCTTTCCCAAACCTGGCAATTCTTTTTTTCCTAGATTAATCACAATATTTAGTCACATCTTACACTTTTTATTTTATTAAAGTTCTAAACCTGAGTGAAATCGGTACAAATTCTTTGAAGGGAAAATAGGTAATTTTATTTACAGACTTAGGGTCAAAATTACTTTTAATCTAACACTAATTAATAATTGCTAAGAATCTGTTTTTTAAATCAAAAGGAGTTTAGCAAGACTGACTCATGATGATCAAACCACTTGCAAAATTTAGTTTCAGAAATTCAAAACAAGACCTACTCTTCAAACTTGATTTTTCTTTTTTTTGTTTTTTTTATTTTTCTTTAAAAAAAAGTATATAAAACTACATGTTAACATTCTAAACTTAATAAATGGGAGAAGGAAGGCCTTACATATTCCCACTTATATCTGTGCTAAACAAAATATGACAAGGGAGAAAAGTAAAAAAAGGTAAAAGGAAAGCCTTCCTCACCCAAACAATGGCAGAAGAATATCTTGAAAACAACAGTTCTAGATAGGACTATAGCTACTACTTATAAGATGAGCTGGTGGCTCATCTTAGGTTTTAAAAAAAGTCAGAATTTAAGAATACCTTGAAGTATCAACTCCTATGAAAGATGTGATGCATTTTTAAAATATACACAAGGCAAAGAAAATAGACACAGGATGAAAATTTTTTTAAAAATAAAAATAAAATTTTTTAAAAATAAAATTATAATTCACCCTTCTAGTGTTAAAACCACAAATGGTGGTCCCCAAGCAAGAGATAAACAGGGAGGGTAAATGCTTTGTTCCTATACTCTCTCAAAACATGGCATAGGAGCTAGTTTCTCTACCATAAGGCTTTTCTTGCTTGTGAAACTGAAAATAAAGGGTGTGCTGAACTCATTAGGAAAAGAATGTGTACTAAGGGTATATACTCTAAGACACTGGTGCCCCTAAGTGGAATCTGTGAAGCTGGCAGCATTTTACCCTTCCCAACATATGCACTTTTTCCTCCCTCTGCTGTTCTCTCATCTTATTCTTCTTCCATTTTCCCTTTTCTTTAGACTGTCCATTGGTTTCTCAGTACCATTCCTAAGCATTGTTCATCTAGAAGGTGGGGAGGGGAAGAAGGGAGAGGAGAACAAAGGTGGGAGGGGAGTCAGAAGGTACTTACAACTAAAAGTTTACTAGCCCCACAACATTCACTTTTATTACAAGAGCAGTCACTCCCACCAGTGCCAATCTAGACTTGTGACTCAAAGTTTTCATTATCCCTACTCCTTACCCAAATGAAGTAGGAAACTACTGAGGGTGAGGTAACCCATAGTTATATTATGTTCCATAAATAATGGAACATATTTTCCCCAAATGGGCAAATAATTTGAATCAAAGAAAGTAATTAGATAAAAACAGAAACTGTTAATTATATCAAAGGTTTTTTTTAACCCAATACAAAAACACAGAATATTTTGCACTAAAGTTTCAGACACTCACGCTTCTGAATGGGTTAATTTCTCACTCCAGTCCTCCAATGTGCTGCTTGCTGAAAGATATCTACAAATACATGGATGTTAGAAAAGATGGTACCAATACTCCTGACAGTCACTCTCCCTATAACTAAATAAATAATGGGTATAGATATTCAAGCTTAACTAGAGCAATTTAATCTTTCCCCAACTATAAGTGGCCTGATGAAGGTATCAACTAGGTACTTCCAAGTACTATGCTTAACTGGGGTAGGAAACATCAATGTTTCAAGCAGATCCAACCCCAGGGAGCATATTTTCCTTCTATATTCTAGCAGCAAATTCTGGCTTCTGAAATCACCTTTATAATTCTCCCTGTCATCAGGAATTAGTAGTTAATTCATACATAGCAGGAGCATCTATCCTTTAAGATACCAAGTTTATTCCCCCCCAACATAACTAAAATATTAAGGTAATAGTCTTTTCCCACTGGAATATAAGCCTTAGTTAAGTATTACAAGATACAGCTGCTCCCCCCCAAAATTCCAAGCCTACCATGATATGATACTTCTAGTAAAACATATAATCTTATCAATTGTCAGTTTTGGACAGCACACACTTGGATTTCTTCATTTTGGTATGGGAAATTCAAAAGTCCAGTTTCCTAAGTTTCTCCAGTTAACTGACATCAACTGAGCTAAATTTTCTTAATGGTGGTATTAATATTTTGTGTTTAAAATTTTTTATTACATTGGGATTTCATCTCCATATTGCTCTTGATTTCCACAACTGTGTTACTAAAGGATTTGGGGGATGCCAACTCCAACTTCTCTGCCCCTATTTCCCTACCCAGCGTACTAGACCAGTCCAACTTACCACTATTTGTTTGACAGTAAAAAATAAGATTTCTAAGTATTTTGAGCTACTAGAGAAAAAGGACGATTTTATGGTAATTATTAATAGTAACCTTAGAAATAACTGCAACTGGTACAAAGTCTGCCCTGCCCTCTAAGTCTCCACTCTCAATTAAGCTATGGCCCTTACTAGAACAGTTGAATCTGAAGGGAGCCAGCCTCACCAACATGTCAGCTTAGGGCAAGGGAACAGATGTAGCCACCATAAAAGCCCAGGTTTTTTTTTTTTAAAGGCTGATCAAAGTTTATTAGTTTCTGTTAAGTACAAAGTAAACAAGTTACTGAGGCTGCTGGAAAGCACAGAGGTGATTCGGATAGCAAAAAAACCAAACAATAACAATGTGGTTTCTTGTACTGTTTTTTGGTGTTTTGCTTTTGTTTTCCTTTAAAAAAAAACCACCCCCCCCACCCCGCAACTACTTCTACACTTAAGCAGCCTATCTATTCTAACTGAATAGGTGGGAGAAGGAAAGGGGAAATGGGTTCATAAGCCCAGAAGTTTCAAGGAGACAGGTTAAGGTAAATATATAGTTGGCTCTCCAACACGGCATGAGTCTTCCCTTCCTCTTCTGTACTGATCTTCCCAGCCTGAATCTCCATTCATGCACACCTCAGCACCCATAATAGCTACCATTTCTAGCATTTCTGTTGATCCTCGCAACAACCCTGTGAGGTAAGTGCAATTAATAACTTATTCTGCAGATGAGGAAATTGAGGCTTAGTGAGGTTAACTGACTTGCCCAGGATCACACAGGTGTCTAGACACACACTGTCTAGAGCAGAATTCAAACTCAGGTCTTCCTGACTCCAAGTCCAACAGTCTATCCATTGTACTACCTATTCATTTTGTGCTTCCTTAGATTCCAATTTTGATTTCTCCAGATGGAGATTTTCCCTCTCCATCCAGCCATGATTACACTAGATGTACTATGACCCCATTCCTACATCAGGGAATATAACCACCTAATCTAATTTAAGTTTAATCCTTTTGTGATTATCTGCCGTGATAAATTTGCCTTATATCCAAAGCAGCTTGGATCCCAGAGCCTTTAACATAAATTAAAACTTCTATTGCAAGTCCTAAAGGAAAGCACCAATATTAATGGAGTGTTGCCTGAGCAGAGACTTGGTACTCTACCAGCACACACCCAGGGTGTGAGATCCAAAAGACCAGGAGGACAACAAGACACAGCTCCTACGAGAAAATCAAAGTACAAAGTTGTAGCCATGCTGAGCTCAAGATAATGGACTTCCATCACCTTCTGTTAAGCTGTTACTCTGCTGTGCTAGGGAACACAAACAAAGGAATTTTCTGCTCATGTTTTCTGATGGCTAGAGTCATACTTCCTTCAAAACAAGACCTGGAAAAGTCCTGCTGAGCAAACACTTAAAAAGTACTTCCTGTCCTTCCTCTCTATAAAAAAATATTCTAGCTAGACTACAGCCTCACTCATATCTTTATTGACTTTGTAGAAAACTTCAAATAAAAGGATCTCTGTGTATAGAACTGTCCTGTACTAGTAACTTATTCAGTTTCCGCCCCTAAAATCTAAGTTTCCACATATTAACACTTTCCAACGACCTAAAGGGACATATTACTAAGCCTCAAAGTCATATGTAAGAACAGATTGACCGAAGCCAAAGTACCTGATTTGCCTTAAAACTATCATACTATAATCACTCCATTAGGGATATCAGTGACTAGGCTTTACCTAAACTTTAGCTCTTCCCTACTGCCCCACATAACAGTCCATACAAAGCAGGTGTTTAATATATGTTTGCTAAACAACCAGGCAAGGGGAAAATGTTCTGAGAAGTTAGAGTACTTTAATTATCTTGATAATGTCATCCAATTATAGTGAAGAGCAAAGCAAAATGAAGTTTTAAGTGTGGTCTGGTAAATGTGTACAATTTCTTATAGATACTGCATCCTGATTTGCAAAAGTCAAGATTGGTTTCATTTTATTGATAATTGAGAGGGGAAAAAATACCCAACTAGTCATCAAATACCAAACAAAAGTTTACCCCAAGCACACAGAGCCCTCCCTGCCACCTGAAAGAGAAGCACAGGATAGGAAGAATAAGGGGGCAGAGTGGTGCTGACAGGCCAGGTGAACTCACAGGTCAGACTGTGTCACTTTCTCATTCCACTCTCCAAGTTTCTCAGATGTTTTCACATAGCTAGAAACAGAAATTCTGGTGGTGAATTTCTAAATCAAGATTCCAAATTGGGTTTGAAATTGCATATTAAATATCAGAGGAGAAAGCAAAGAATCAGAGATCATTAGAAAATACCCACTCAAAGCTTGGCACCCTCATCATGCACGATGCAATAGTTCTATCCTTTATCTTTAGTGATGTTTGGCTGTTTAGTAAATGCTGTGTGACCCTGAACTAAAAGGCCATGTGAAACCAGATTAAGGCTCTATAAGAAATGATAAGTTCCTTTTTAGTTCTAACATGTTGAATATACACTGTTATCATTAAATAATGGGGCTCACCTATAGATGTTTGGACAGAAACAGGAAAGAGAAGAACTGACGGTTAGAAGCAATCCTTAAAACCACATGCACCTGACAACTTACGTGCCTGTACTTAAAACAGTGCAATTCTCAGGAATTAGAACTGCTTTGTGTTAGAATGGTTCATGTGAAGCACCAGTTTCTCCATAGGGCTATAGTTTCTTAAGTAAGGGGTCCTCATCCCTGACCACCTCCCCCACTCCAGGCTATTGGTTTTAATAGGAACCGAGAAATTAGAACAGTGAGTTCTATAATGAAAAGTCGGAACTGCTTTCCTATTCCCTACATTCTTTGAAAATCTGTAGTTCTTCAAATGAACTGCCTTAGTCTGACAGGCCAAAACAGATATGTATTTTAGAGGATTAGACCAGGTATTGCCTTAGAGATTTCAAACTTATGTGACTAAGTTCTCATGTTAAGAAAATGTATGCATTTCAATATGTACCACACCATATGTGCCATCAAAAAACTCAATCCCTGTGGGAAAATGAATGAGTACCCTGGATTGTGAATTCCTGAAAGTCATTCTCTTTTTTAATTTCTACATGAAAATCTAGTTAGTTCTTCTATCTTTAAAAACAAAATTATGAAAAGTTATTAGCTCCATATTTGAATAATTATTTCCTAAACTCCAGAACTCATCCTTGCCATACTTTTACTAAACAGATATATTTTATCCCTTATCACCAAAAACTTAATGCACTCAGACAAAAAGGCAGAAAGAATGGCCAATTCCTGAGTACATTTCAGAAAGGTAGCTGCACCTACAAGTAAAAAGAGAGTCAAAGGGAAACCTACGCATTGGAGACCTGAACATCATGCCAACTCTTTGAAAGATTTTGCTTCAGTCCATCCAAGGGAGTCAGGCCCAGCTTCCTCTTCAGCTCACCACAGTGTCTTTCTTTGGCTGCCAGGACCTGCCGTAATGTAACAATTTCTTCTTCCACCTTCAAAATAATAAAAATGTTTATTATTGCATGATCAACAATCACAACTCATATTTCTATTGCACTTCAAGCTTTACAAAATGTTTTACTCATGACAACTTTGTTAGGTGGGTAGATGAGGAAACTGAAGTTCAGAAAGACTAAGTGACTTGCTCAGGGTTACTACTAATCACTGATTTGAATCCAGTTCTCTTGACCTCAAATTTACTGCTCTTTCTGCTACAACACACTGCCTCTGCATCTCCAGTAAAGATTAACTCAACCTATTCAACAGGCTATAGAACTGGCCCCTAAAAACAAAATATTCATCCTGGGCTTGGAACTCAACATTTAAAATCCATTACAGTTATGTATTTTAATACCATCACCAGCTACAAAGCCTTACTTATCTTCTTGATTTAGTTAGATTTTGCAATGGCTCAGGTCTAATGTGCATTACTGTTTTTAAAAATTCCTTTTTCTGAAAATTATCCTTTGGCTTCTACCTCCCTATAATAGAGACTTGAGTCTAGCCCATGTCTAGTTGTGCTTAATTCCTCATTTTTGTTTTAACAATGTAATTCTCTGAGAGGTAACAAGAAGAGGCAGAGGGATAGGCACTGGACCAATGATTTCACTACTACAGGGGACCTTCAGATGAGGAAATTCCCTCTACCAATACATGTTGATCCCTTCTCTGAAATTTATAGTTTTTGAGCAGTTATGGACCCATTTAGCAGTCTGGTGAAACTTTTCAGAACAATATTTTTAGGTACATAACATATATAAACTCACAAAGGAAACCAATTTTATATATTGTAATAGTTATCACAATATTTTTTAAAAAACCTAATTCACAGACTCTAAGTTAAAAACTTCTGTTTTAGAGAGTTTCCTAGAATACTTAAAGGTTAAGTCATTTGCCAGGGTCACATAACCTGTATGTGTCAAAGGTGGAACTTGAAACCAAGTCTTCCTGACTCCAAGGCCAGCTCTTTATCCACAATGCCACTGTGTCTCTGGGAAGCGGGTTTAAGGGATATACTGGGAAATGCACATGCCATAAAAACAAAAATAATTAATAAAAATTTATTATGAAATAACAATTTGTTGAAATTCATATAATCATACAAGGCTACCAAGTATAATAATACCAAGCTACCACCTGTCATTTGAACATTTGGCAACAAAATTGGGTCTCTAAATCTTGCAACTGTTCTAGCTTTCAGTCTGAGTCAAAGCCAATAGGAAGTAGCATCACGAAGGTCAAAGAGAAATAATTCTGTTTACTGACTAATGTCTCATTTACAAATCTAGATGCAATTTTAATAATAGCAACAAAGAAGTCATTCCACATTATTAGAAGGCCTAGAAACAGAAGCTTTGTAGACTATTCAGAAATCCGTACTAGAGAAATGACTATGAAATCCTAAGAATCATAATATTGAGAATACGTGTGGACTGACAAGTCCATTTATGGTATATTCTCTAATTATCTAGCCCATTCAAATTGGGGTTTGAAAATGACAGAACAATTCCTTCACCTAATAATCCCACTGTGAGCTGGACCTTGGTGTTTGGTTTATAAACTCCTTAAGGTATTCTGAACAAAAAGAAAAATATCAATTCCTTTGGACCACAGCCTGTTCTCCCTTAAGCTTTTTCTAATTTACAAACAACTGCTGCATTTTCCTCAGCAATATGAAAGTTGACATACTGGTGTTTGAAGCTTATGTGTATTAACAGTCTACTCAACCCCTGAGGTTGGATTCTAAATACCAAAATATGTTTGGTCTTAAAAATATCCCATAAGACAGAGCAAAAGTACTGCCACTTCTGTCCCTTGTTTTAGTATGGGGTAAAACATAACATAACCTGAGCAACTTTATACTAACACTTTTAATTACAATAAGCTTGCCAAAATGTTTAGTGAGTTTCTTTCTCTGTATCCCACCATCTTAAGCTTATCAGTTTTAACCTTATATCACAAGAAGTTTAATGGAAACAACAAAATATCATTTTAGTAGTTAATATGCATAAAAGTTATACCAATAGGTCCTCAATTTTGTTGAAAAAAGTTAATTGTTAATAAGTTCTTTAATAATCTCTAAGAGAAGCCTAGCATAGCAGCTAGAGAGTCAGTCTCAGAGTCAGGAAGACCTGGGTTCAAGTTCTATCTTTCAAACATACTGGCTCTGTGGTTCTGGCAAGTCACTTAACCTCTCTCTCAGTGTCCCTAGGCAACTCTCTAAGACTCTCAGTTGCAGAAAAGTTGCAGTTCTGAATTGGTAGAAGATTCCTCACCAGAAGTTCTCCCAAAAAATGAAACCACAGGTCTAATTTGGGGGGTTGGGGGTGGGTGAGGAAAAAACCTTTAAAGTGGCTGCTATCATCCTAGCCTTGCCTTCCCTTAATCATGTTCAAGATTTAAACAATTATCTCTTGCCATGCCAACTTATCATCAAAGTCAAAACCATAACAAAAAGTCATCAGGGAAGAGGATATAAACCCAATATCATTATCAGGTCTACCAAATCACTGGCTGCTGAAAGAAAGGAACACCTGGGCCTCCAATTCGGCTGCCAGCTGTGACTATGGACAAGTCACATCTCTCTGAGCTTCAGTTTCCTTATCTATAAAATAGGAAGAGTAATATCTGTACTACGTACTTCAAAAGTTGTTGTGAGTAAAGTACTCTGTAAATGACAAAACATTATATAAACATGGGCTATTAGCAGGTACAATAATAACAGGCAACCATGTTTAGAATGAGCATCCTCACCAGATTTCAATTAGTATGATTTCTCATCATGTTAACATTTTGTACGTATACTACAGCACCTTTTCCCGCTTACAAACTTTAATGAAAGAAGGCTGTGATTAATTTTGAGCAAAGAAAACACTTTGTTACCTTAGTGAGTTCAGATCTGAGCTCTTCTTCCTCTGCCTCTGTCAGGCCCTCAGGAATGGAGGTCCTGGCAGTCCCTGTATCCACTGGCACATCTGTCATGGTATCTGATAGTAGACCTTTGTTAGGAGAATTCAAGTTGATATCTGTCAGTAAGAAGAAATAGGATGAGACAAAACAAATTAACAACTATGGTATGACCTTCAGTTAACAAAGATCTCCCTGAGGGAAATGAAAGGCGGGAAGAGTGGGGTTGGGGAAGACTAGGGGAAAGACCAAATGGGAAACAACACCAATTGTGTTATTAAGTTTCAGAAAGGCAAGCATGAGGCAGAAACACTCTGAGCATTGGTATTCCTTGTGAAAATTCTAACCTTTGAGAAGGTAAAATCCTCACTACAAACAAGGCAACAAGTTTTAGTAGGGTTTTTTGTTTGTTTGTTCAAAATGAAGGAATTTCATATGACAATAAGCACTCCCAGCTTCCCATCCCATTGAACTCATCTACTAATGCACATACCTAATTATATACAAGAAGCACTTGCCAATGATACCACCACTGCAGGGTGTCAGCAAAACTAAATCCTATTAGCTCATGTTATGTCCTATATTCAGGGACTTCACTGGGCACTACGTGAGCAGAAAGTAGAAGAGGTGACAGAAACTGTTCTCTCCAAGGTTACCGATGATTTTTAATTGCCAAATCAAAGGGCTTTTTCTCAATCCTTCTCCTTCTTGACCTCTCTGCAGCATTTAATACTGCTGATCACCTCCTTCTGGATCCACTCTCCTCCCTGTGTTTTCACGCCATTGCTCTCTCCTGTTTCACTTCCCATTTGTCTGAATGCTCATTCTGTCTCCTTTGCTCATTCTTCATCCATGTGACATCCATTAACTATGGATATCCCCAAGGCTCTGTCGTAGGTCCTCTTCTCTTCTCCTTTTACACCAAGCGCTCTTAACTTGGGGTCCATGATTTTTAAAAAATATTTTAATAGCTGTACTCTAATATAATTGGTTTCTTTTGCTACCGTACATATTGTACTTCATGCATTTAAAAACCATTCTGAGCAGGGGTCCCTAGGTTTCACCAAACTGCCAAACTAGTTCATGACACATAAAAAAGGTTAAGAACACCTGTATGTACAAAGGGCTATAAAACTGTATATACCCTTTGACCTAACAATACCACTACTAGGTCTGTATCCCAAAGAGAAAAAACAAAAAGGAAAAGGACTTATATGTACAAACCCCCCCAAAAAACTAGAGCAGCTCTTTTTGTGGTGGCAAAGAATTGGAAATTGAGATGTCCATCAGTTATGAAATGGTTGAACAAATTGTGGTATATGTGATGGAATTATATTTTGCTATAAGAAATGATGAGCAAGACACTCGGAAAAACCTGGAAAGTCTTATATGAACTGATGCAAAATGAAATGAGCAGAACCAGAAGACTGTATACAGTAACAGCAATATTGTATGATGATTAACTGTGAATGACTTAGTTATGCTCAACAATACAATGATCCAAGACAATTTGGAAGGACTTAGGATGAAAAATTATACCCATCTCCAAAGAAAGAACTGATAGTATCTGAACACAGATAAAAGCATACTTTTTAAACTTTCAAAAAAAACCCTCTTGTTCTACATTATTTCACTTGGTGAGCTCATCAGCAATCAATAACCATCTCTATACAGATCTATATATCCAGTTCAAGTCTCTCTCCTTTGTTACATTCCAAAACCTTCTGAACATTTCCAACTGGATATCCTATAGGCATCTCAAATTCATTATGTTCAAAACAAAAATCATTATCTTTTCCCCAAAACCATTCCTTCTTCCAAACTACCCTATTACTGTCAAGGCTCTACCAATTTTCCCAGGCACCCAAACTCACCACCTCAGGGATATCCTCAATTCCTCACTCTCACTCAACCCATATATCTAATTGTTGTCAAATCTTAACATTTCTCCCTTCATCACATCTTTCATATGTGACAGCATGTCGATTTTTCTCCATTCACCCAACCACCACTTCAGTACTGATCACAACTCACTGATCTGGTCTTTTAATTGGTCTCCTTGCTTCAAGTGTCTCTCCCACTCCAATCCATCCTCCACTCAGCTGTCAAAGTGATTTTCCTAAAGCAAAGGTCTGGCCATGCCAACACCTTACTCAGTAAATTCCAAATGGCTCCTTATCACCTTCAACATCAAATGTAAAATGTTCTGTTTCTCATTCAAAGCCCTCTTACACTTTTCTCCCTTCCAGGTACTCTCTGGTCTACTTACTGTTCCTCACACACAATACTCCCAACTCTACCTTTTCACTGATTCTTAGTCTCTCTGGCTTCAAGACTCAACTTAAGCCTCATCTTCTTCAGGAGGCCTAGTCCTCCAGTTGCTAATGCCTTTCCCTCTTGGATTACTTTCCATCTACTCTGTATATATCTTGTGCTAATTACTTACTTACATGGACGGGGACAGTGTTTTTGCCTTTCTTCGTATCCCTATTGCTTAGTACAGTGCCTGGCACAAAGCAAGGGCTATATAAATGCTAGCTGTTGACTGACTACATCCAGGGTTACACAACTTTTCATATCAAGTTTAAACTTCTTGCACTGAATGAGATCTGTCCTCTCTTCTTAGCATATACGCCTGTGCACTTTATACTCTAGAAATCTAGATGATACCACAGAAATGTAGCTTATTTCACTTCTTAGAACATTATTGTTCAGTATTACTACACTAAAAATTAACAAATTAACAAAACCTTTTCCTAGCACACTCAAAGTACATCATTAAAAATTTAAAATAAAAAAGGCATTCCTTTTATTGTTTTTTTGTTTTTTGGTTGGGCAATGGGGTTAAGTGACTTGCCCAGAGTCACACAGCTAGTAAGTGTTATGTGTCTGAGGCCAAATTTGAACTCAGGTCCTCCTGAATCCAGGGCTGGTGCTCTATCCACTGCGCCACCTAGCTGCCCAGGCATTCTTTTTAAAAGCAAAACTTATAGCAGACTGTACAATTCTTAAGGGCAAGGAACATGTTTTATTCACCTATGTATCCCTGGTAGTACTTAGCTTTGCGCCTTCAGCCCCAGGCATAGGTGCTCAGTAAGTAACTGCTGAATGAAAAATGTCCTCTTTTTAAAAACAGTGCTGATTCTGAATTTAAATTCTGTTTAGTTCATATTCTTTCGCTTAATCATTTTTATCTGCTGTGGTATCCCTTAACGTAAATGAACACCTGAAATTTGCTGCAATTCTTATTCATCAATTTTATTTTAGAAAACCATACCCTGGAGAGGAGTGCAGTAATTAAAAAAAAATAGAAACCAAGAAATACTTTCCCCACAACAATCCCCATCAAATTTTAAAAACTTCCACTGAAAAAAACAGATGTCAAACTAAAAACAAGCAACCTAAACCCAATAATACTGTAAATAATCCAAATTACATATCTGTCAAAATGCAAAACATTCTTTCTATTCTGAAATCCCTGAAATTATTTTACTCCAGAACTTAATGATTCAGATTTCTTATCACATTCCTCTATCATGCCGACGAAACACCACTGAAGAAGCTTTTCCTCAAACAGACTGATTAGGTGTGTCAGTATTACAACTTGACCCACCAGCTTTGCCAACTGCCACCTTCTCCTACCCTCCCTTAGGTAACACCAGTCACCCACATTAACAAGAGATATAAGGTAGGCCAAGAGAATGTCTCACTGAGGACTTGTGTAGGGGAAGAACACCACAATGAAAGTGAAAAGAGTTATGGTGATTATTCAACAGTGTCTTGGATGCTGACCCTACAATCTGATTCTGTATGCTAAGTACCAACTAGAGTGACACATCTAAACTAGATCTCCCGAATATTAGTGAAAGAAGAAAGCAGAATGTTGAGAAAGTAAGAAAATTCCTGTGTGGGATATGTCAGGGAAAGAAACATGAAAATGGCCTGAAAAAGTAGTGAGAGGGAGAGGGCGATGAGGAATCTGGGGAGGTTAAGGGAGTGTGGAAGTGAAGCAATTAAAGTTGGAGAAGTTTACAGGGAAGAAGGTATGGAAGAGTAAGAAGGCTAAAATTTGGAAGAGAAAGGGTAAGGATAGCTAAAAGAGGATCAAGGCTGGAAGGAAAGGCAGGAAAGAAAAAATACTAAGAAAAAGGCAAGAAAGAGGTCTAAGAAAAATACAAGATGTAGGAGAAACCTCTGAGAGAGAGGCTGAAGAAGATGAAGACATTGTGGGGTAGGAAACCTAAGAGAGTTGGGAGCAGCACAAAGAGGTGATAAAAATGAGGGTACCACATCACTGAATGTAGTTCCTTAGTTAATAAATATTTGCTGAATAAAGATGATGGAAAAGACTAAAGGGCCACTCCCAGAGGCTGGGCAAGGAAGAAATGAAGGCACTGGAAAGGTGCTCCTAGCAAGTTGCTGAGAGAAACTGAATGGGAATTACCATGGAGGAAACAGGGTAGGAAAAGAAGGAAAACAACAAAAGAGGGTTCCAGAAAATGGATGGAAAATATTCCCGGTGGTTTTAAGAATCATAGATGCAGAACAGGAAGGAGACTGTCCAATCCAATCCGCTTATTTTACAAATGAAAGAAGTTCATGGAAACTTGACCGCTAAGAGGCAGAATGAAAAAAAAAGAAAAGAAAAAAGCCAGGTCCTCTAATTCCAAATCCAGCGTTCTCTTCTATTTTGGGCTACCTGATTTTTTTTTGCGGGGGGAGGCGAGGGCGGGCAGTTGATCCAGAGAAATAAGAGCTAGAAAGGATGGGATGACAGGACACGGGAAATGGCCAAGGGTTGTCGGGGTGAGATTCTGAGGGGGGAACCCAATAGGAGAGACCAGGGAAGCTGGGGGTGGGCTTACCAAGGAAATGGGGGTCGACTAAGGAAAAGATGGAGGGCATCGAAGGGCACATAAGGGAGGCTGAGACACCATGGAGGAGCACATATAGGGGGAAGGGGAGAGAGACAGCATACGTGCCAGGAAGCCACAGGGATATCTGGGGAGAAGGGACCAAGGTGAGGGACGGGTACGCAAGAGCCCAGGGGGCCGGGGGCGGAGCCTGGAGGGGCGGGCTGGACCGGAGGCGGGGCCGGGAGGCCTGCCTGTCCGTTAGTCAGTCGGTCAGTCAGTCAGTGGCTCCGTCCCTGCTCTCCTCCCTCCACGGCTACCTTGGCTGGCGGGATCCATGTCCGGGCCGTATGCTGGGCAAGTGCCGAGGCCAAGCCTAGTGTCCGTCGCTTCCACTCGGCGTCTAGAAGACTCGGAGAAGCTGCAGCCACCACCGCTGCACGTAATCCCAGCCGCGGCCACTCACTTCCCCTTGGGGGGCCCGCTGTGCCCTGGCCCCGCCTTCCCCCGGAACCATCCAATGAGAGCTTCCTCCAGCCACGTCCGCACTCCAACTTCGTCCTTGTGATAGGCGAATGTGTGGTCACGTGACAGGGGCAAGGCAGGTGGGGTTTGGGAGAGTCCGGCCCAGTTCGGGTTCACCATTGAGTTAAGCGTGCTCCGGGCTAGAAAGGCAGGAAGGAGTGGAGACGAGGGGAGTATGGGGAGTCGGAGGACTGCACAGTGTTGCATTGCGTGTGTCTTGTGACGCGTTTTCTGTGGTCCGCTGCCTAAGCCTCAGCGTAAACCTCACTCTTGCATTTTGCCTTGTGTCTGTTTCGTTCAACTCTTGGTCTTCCTCCTCCAGGCCCCACCAACCCGAGCACTCCCCCCAAGTCCCACGGCGAAGCTGGCCTGAAAGTTTTCCAGACTTCACCAGAACTCTCTTCCCGGCATTCGCCGCCATCAGTCTAAGTTACCAACCTCTAAGTGCCCTGCTTCGTTCCATACCTGCAGGCCCCCCACTTCTTTCCTTTGGTGTCTGTTACTCTCAGTCTTACCAATAGGCTTGGCGATCATTTAGGTCTATGGAATATTTTTAATTCAGTCCAAATAAACATTAGCCCCTTGAGGGCAGGGCTGTTTTTCTTTAGTATCCCCATCACAGCAACTTGCACATAGGTGCCAAAAAAAAAAAGCTTTTTGAATTTAATTTGAATTAATGTGCCTCTGACACATAACTTGCTCTGTGACCTTGAGTAAGTCATTTAACCCCTCAGTGCTCCAGGCATCTCTCTTAGACTCTATTTTGGTGAGCAAAATGTAGATCTGCATCAGTAAAAGGAGTTTCCTCTAATGGCTTTCCCTGTACTAATGAAACCACAGCTTGAGTAAAAAAAGAAGAAAAAAAAACATTGTACTTGGGTTTGGGTGCTTGGCTTTGTGACCCAGGAAAAGTTGTGTAACCTCTTAGTTTCCTCCTCTAAAATAATGGCAATACTATTTGTCTTACCCTAGTTTACAGGGTTGCTTTGAAAAAAAGTATAGCAGTTCATTTATGTGAAAGTGAAAAACTTGCGCAGGCAAAATTAATGCACCTAGGATAAGAAGGAAAACTGTCAAATGGGGAAAACAATCTTTGTATCAAATTTTCTTGATAAAGGTTTGGTATCTAGAAACAATTAACACTAATTGGATGATGGTGAAGTGAATCATAGATGATCATTTCAGAAAGTAATTTGGAATTATGCAACTAAAATTCTGTACCATTTGAGATTCCATTGCTAGGCTTATACCCCAAGGAAGCCATTGACAAGGAGAAAGTCCCCCATATACACCAAAAATTTTAGCAGTACTTTTTGTGATAGCAAAGAATTAGAAACAAAGTAGATGCTCATCAGTTGAGAAATGGCTACCCAAATTACCTATGTTATTAAGAAATGACAAATATGATGAAGGCAAAGAAGAAGGGAAAGATCTACATGGACTGATGCAGAATGAAGTAAGCAGAGTCAAGAAAACAACATACACAGTGACTACAAAAATATAAACAGAACACTCACTTAAAGAAGTTAATGTCGCAAAATTACAAAGAATTACATGATCAAAAGATATTCCTACCCCACTAGAGGGTGGAAGGTCCATGATTGTGGTACATAGCACATATTTTCAGACTTTTTCAATATATTGATCGATTTTGCTTATTTTTTGTTTTCTTTTTAAAAATATATTTTGTTATATAGGATAGCTTTCTGAGAGAGGAGAGGGGAAGGATAAGGGGGGAAATCTTGGTAATGTAAAAAAGAAAACCAAAAGACACTAGTAAAAACTTATTTAAAAAGAAAAAGTATAGTGATGTCATTAAGAAACATGGGATTCAGACAAGATTGGGCATTTTTAGGGTAGTATAGTTGTTACAAGGGTTTGATTTTTCCCCTTTATTTTTTCAATGGGGTAGATGAGAGAAAGAAAGAAAATGCTCATTAATTTTTAAAAAATGATTTAAAATAACTATAATTCACTTTTTAAAAGATAAATATAATTGTAAGGAGGAACAAATTTTATGAAGAAGATGATTTATTTGGATATATTGGATAAATTGGATATATTAAATTTAAGATGCTAGCAGGACATCTAGGTGGAGCTGTTTATCAGGCAAATGGAAATAGACATGTAAAGCTCAGAAGAGAGAGATCAGTATTGTAGTCATAGATTTAGGAAAGATCTACATATAACTATTAATTGAAGCCATTGTAGTAAATGAAGTCACCAAGGGAGTTAATATTGAAAGATAAAAGAAAAGAAAAGGGCAGGAGAAAAATAAAATACTAAATAAATATTTTTTTTAAAAGAAAAGACAAGGGCAAAGGAAGAGCTTTTAAGGATACTATATGTAGGGGCTAAAAGGAAAAAAAAGAAAAAGAAAAAAAAATGAGCCAGGGAGGTTCCACTTCACTTCTGCCTTTTGGAATCCCTAGTTCCATTTAAGGTTCTGCTCAAGTGCTGCCTCCCAAAGGTCTTTTCTGATGACCCCAATTGTTAATGTCCCCTCCCAGAAATTACTCTTTTTATTTTATTTTATTTTATTTTTGGTCTGGACCTGCAATTTTCTGAGTATAGGAAGCTTCCCTGTGAGAAAGCTTGCCCTATCGATCAGGATCTGGAACTGCTTTGCAATTTTTAGTCTTAGAGTTTCCTTGGGGCACTAAGAGGTTAAGTGACTTGCCTAGTATATATAAAAGGTGAGACTTAAACCCAGACCTTCCTGGCTTCAAGGCTAGGTTTCTATCCAAGTTACCAGAAGGTTTTCTAAATATTTTGTATAAATTTTATATTTACTTAATCAATGATCAAGTATTTATTAAGTGTCTACTATGTTCTTGGCATTGTGCTATGGGTATAATTACAATGAACGGAACAATCTCTCCTTGAAAAGATCTTATGTCTTAATAATGGAGACAACAGTATATACATACATATTCATGCATACATATATGTGTCTATACAAATAAAATGCAAAGAGAATAAATACAAAGTAGTTTGAGAGGCAGGACATTAGCAATTGAGGGAATCAGAAATTGCTTCATGTAGAAGGTGATGTATAAGCTGCATCTTGAAGGGAAGAAAAAGATCTTTGAAGTAGACATGAAGAGGAAGTGCACTCTAGACAAGAGGGACAGCCAGTACAAAGACATAGAGATGAGAAATGGAGCGTCATGTGTGAAGAACCAAGAGAAAGCCAGAATATATGTGAATAGAAGGATTACATCAAACCAGAGAGGGAGTACAATGAGGCTGGAAAGATTGGTTGGGACAATTTTCAAAGGAAGAAATGTAAATAATCATCAATCATATAAAAATGTTCCAAATTGCTAATAGAAATACAAATTCAAACAACTCTGTAGGTATCATGTTATATTCATCAAATTGGTCACGATGAGAAGATATAGAAGTAGCAATAAGGAAAATCTAAATGAGTTCCCTCAATCAATTTGAGATAATAGAAACATACCCTTATTTGTAGGCATCTAAGGTACACTTTTCTATGAAATCTGAGTGTGTCCACTGGTGTGGTACTAGTTGGGTTCCGCCTCCTAGATTCCATGTCTTCCTTCAAGTTCTAGCTAATATCCCATTATTTACAGGAAGACTTTCCTAATCCTTCATTCTAGTGCTTTCCTTCTGTTGATTATTTTCAATTTATCCTGCATATAGCTTGTTTGTACATAGTTATTTGAGTCTTGTTTCTCCCATTAAACTGTAAGCTCCTCGAGAGCAAGGACCCATCTTTTGCTTTTCTTTGTATCCTCTATGCTTAGCAAATAGTAGGTGCTTAATAAATGTTTATTGACTATTTGTTAACTGATTGGGACTTCATCTTGATGACTGACTGACTTAAAATCTGATTTCTTTTCTTTTGGTCTTTAAGAAAATTGCTTAGTTTCTCATATCTTCACTTATTTTCCCCTTGTGCCTTCTTTCAGAGTACAGCTATAGTGGGAAAGAGATTTCTCTCTCCTGTCACACCCAGAAGTAGATAATGTCAGTGCACAGAGCCTGAAAGAGAGATCCTGAGAATGAGATGTCCCAGCTTAACAGAAGGCAACAACACTGAAAGTTTTCCACTGAAGCACAAGGCAGAAGCAGACATGTGTGTGCCCACTCAGCTGAGAGAGGAGAGTCCCATGTCTGGGAGCTACCTTGGGGAGAATCTCAATTTTGAGAGTTCTTAAGTTGAGTTTTGATGCCAGACATCCTAGAGAGAGCCAATTTCTTGAAATATTGTTCTCCATGGAAAAAAGAAGAGAATGAATTTAGCTCCTGAGCAGAGTTACTTGGATAGATCCAGTCCAATAAAAAAGTTTGCTTATTCTGAAGCCCCCAAAGTATGTTTACCCTCCAGGAAAATATTAATCATATGAGTCTGGGGGAAAAATAATGTATGTTCTTGTGTGACAGAGGGATTTCATTAGAATATGAGTATCGTTCCAATGGCAACATCAAGTTCAATATTATGTGTGTGTGTGTGTGTGTGTGTGCGTGTGTGTGTGTGTTCAGTGTATTTCTGAGTCAGTTCATGAGTTGCTCTGGGTTCTTTGTATCTGTAGAAGAGTTGATCTTTGACTACACCTTGAGGCCAGAAGGACCAGAATGTAGTCATAGGTGTTGTTATTTAGTTGTTTCAATCTTTTCTGACTCTTTGTGACCCCATTTGGGAGTTTCTTGGCAAAGATTCTGGAGTGGTTTGCCATTTCCTTCTCCAGCTCATTTTACAGATGAGGAAACTGAGGTAAACAGGGGAAGTAACTTGCCTTGGGTCACATAGCTAGTAAGTGTCTGAGGCTAGATTTGAACTCAGCTTTTCCTGAATCCAGGCCTGGCACTCTATCTACTGCACCACTTAGCTGCCCTAGTCACAGGTAATAAAGGGCAAATGTGAGGTGTTAAACTCACTGTTAAGATGAGACCATACCTGGTGATGGCCTTACAAAGTTCAAAAAAGTCCCTTGACTAAATTAGAAGGGAAACCA